CACGAGCTTGTACTGCTACTCCATAAAGAGGGTCAAAATTCTCCAACGATGGATTAATGCAGTACGATCTATCTATGTTCAACATTTTTTTGATCACAGCGGACACTATATGAGACAGCGTCTCCTATGTCCAAAGTTGGTGCTGACCAGAAACAAGTGGTTGTCGGAACAAACTTGCAACTGACGATCATGCTTGTCAGTTGATTGGCATGGGATTCCGTAGATGCTTACTAGATACCTCTCCGATTGGCTCAACTCAGCTTCCCTACTTGAGCGTTAAAGTTACCTACCATTGTGACTATATTTGAACGTGTTGATTTCTGTGGCAGAACTGACAGCTTCTCATAGAATTTATCCTTTGCATTATCCGAACTGCAGTCGGTGGGTGGATGTTTAGGCTGAGATTACGAATAGGCATTGGCTAGTCTCACCATGCTTCCTAGTCCTTACAGATCCAGTCAGTCGAACAGCACATAGACGGCTGTTGACTGGCATCTAGTTTAGAAGCGCACTTTTTGCCCTACAACTCAATGCTATCGCTTCTGCAGCAGAGAATCTTCGAGAGCTATCCAGTGAATCTTCGAATTCTCGTAAGGTGAGTTTTGAAGATTACCTGCTATGGCCAGGTGAGTTAAATTTAATAAACACAGTTGCGTATTTTTTAGGTGTTTGACACACAGCACACATCCATGGCTAGAGATTTCAAAGTTATGCTGAACGGTGCCTGGTGTCCGATTTGGCGTATAGTTTGTACGTTGAAAGCTCCTACATGAAATCGATGGTGTGGTCTTCGGAGGCTCGGAATGAGGTTTCGGTGGCTTTGATCGTTCGCAGTGGTCACAGAATGAGAGGTTGATGGTGGTATAAAAGGTTTAATATTAGTATCAGGTGGTTAAAGCAAAGGGGGAGATAGAGTTGAGTGGGATAGGTCTCGTTTATTTCCGGAAGCATCCGGGTGGTTGACACTTCCCCGCTGTCCACACCGTGGAAGGCTATTTTTTTCCTGGGGTACGTGAAAGTGAAAGGCTTTTGTGATCGCAGAAACCAAGGGATATCTGCTCGATGCCTGTTACACACGGTCTTTTGTGGATTGTTGTTTTGACGTGAAGCAGAGAAAGACCATACCACTGGCACCTGAGAAGTGTGGGGTAGGGATGGGTGCGTTATTTTTGTCACCAACCTTTTCTAACCACGCTTTCCATAGGGAAGCAGAATCAGCGTAGGATTGCTGTTCGTCCAAGCGAAACATCTTACTGTCGTCACACCCTATCCTGCTAGGAGTATGACTTCTCCCTCGGACTTCTATCATAGTATGGTAATTTACGTTGTAATGGAAACTGATTTTCGTTTTAGCACTATCCAACGGACCATTATGGGATGGTAGGTCGTTGGGGGGACAATCTTTCCAGTCAATGTAGCTCGTTGGGTCACTATGATGTGAAAGCCCGACCACAATGTCGGCCAGGACAAGAGTTTTTATGTATTTACAATAGCCTTAGTTATTTCTAGGACTTTTTAAATTTGAATGTCGCATTGATTTCCGTCCCTACGACCAATCTGACATTTATACGCTGGTTCACGTGCTTTCTTTCGTAACTTAGGCGCAACACGATTGGTGCAAAAGTGTTCAGGGAGACACAGCTACTTCTGCAGATCGTGGCACACTTATTCCGCACTATAAGACCTCCCTTGAAACAGAGATGGACAGTAGTGCCTCATCACAGATTGCTAATCTTTCGCTGGATCGTGAAAATTATTCTTAAGTGATCTTCTGCTGAATCTACGTTGTGGCGTAATCTGAATTAACTGGCATTGGCTATCTTCAGCTCTTTCTAGACTTGAAACCTTTTGATTTTTGTCTCTTCGACCAATCTGATATTTATGTGTTGGTTTACGTGCTTTCCCCGAAAATTCTGAGCGAAGCGATTGGTTGTAACAGGCTCCAGAGATTTAGGGCTTTTTATGGCAGCCATGGTGATCTTATTCCGTACTATATATACATGCACTTCTTACAGCGATTTGATCCTTTAACTGCTAGTGGAATACGAGAAACAACTGAATACAATAACCTTTTTTACTAAACACAAAAAACAACGAATTATAGCGGTGCTTCTTCTCACTTTTATTCAACTGGATCACAAAAAGTAGTCAGTTTTGGTTAGACTAGTCAATGTTTACATTTCACAGTCATTTTAACGATAGACTATCGGGTATAAATAGTGTCGAACGAATCACGAACAGTTTCTCCGGGACAGCTTAAACATGATGTTGATAAGTGCCAGTGGAAAATTTCCCATTGGCTAACTTCAACCGCCAACCAGTACATGAAATTAACGACTAAATCCGATGAGTAGTGTTATTGATTGTCATTAATTAACATGTGAGGATTAGTGTCGATTTTTCTGTTGACTGTTAACAACCGTATGAGATAAAGTATATATTAAATAGGAATCGACTGCATCTCAGCATGAACTAATTAAAAAACACTTCCAGTATTTAAAATCTACTCAGTCTGTCAAAATATCCTTAGGTTATCAAGAAAAATTCATGCTTTATACAAACTTTTCGACATTTATCTGTATCGTATAAGGGACACGCATGTGGACAGTGTAGTTTCGGACACTTATTTTCAATAAGTATAAATACAGTTTGGAAAAAGATACAACTATTCCTTATAACCTTCAACAGAAGACTAATACGCAGTTTATTTCCCAGATGAGATCACGTTCAGACACCCATGTAAGTGACCCTATGTGAATAACTACTAGTCCCCTCCTTTGTTTTACCAATAACATACTTAATAAGAGTAAGACATGCATCAGCGAAGAAATATTTCTTTTCAATGACTTCATTATCAAGCTGTACAGTCGCATTTATACTCGATAAAGTGACAGATAATTGCACTAAAAAGCTGCTCAGTCAATATGCAAAATATACAATAGGTGTAGGTGGTCGTATTTGTTCAAGTGGAAGAAATAGAAAATGGGTCACTAAATAAGGAACTAGTTGATAACAAGTGGTGAGATAAGAGACACATGTTGTCAAAGAATTGTAAAACAGTGATAATTTAGCTGAAACATACAAAATAGGTCAATGAAGTGAAAATTGGTGATAATGATGATGATAATAAAGAGAAGTATACCAAAGTGAAGTGAAATTGACAAAATCAACAAAATGAATTGTTAAGGCCAAGATAGAGAAAGTGGTTTCACAAAACGTTTTTGAATGCAAAGTTTCGGCTTTTGTTCATGTATAGCTAATGATTCAGTTATCCATAAGTGGTGGAAACGTAAACCTTTGGAGTAGCTCAATTTAACTTTGTAAATTATTTTAAAGGATCAATCTCGAGGTGCTGAACCACCTAATTCAACAAGGTGTTCACATATGGATGAGGTCGTTTTGCTTTGCTCGCCTTTGGTAAGCCAAACCGGGTAATGTTCAGTAACACGTTTTCGGAGAGCCGCTTACAACGTCCAGTATAGTCAGCACTTCGGCTGTGGTATCTCCTTTGAATTCTAGATTCATGGTTAAGATTTCCTTAAGGACTGTAATGGGATGGGGAGTGGTTTGTTTTTTCAGGGTATCCATTATTAGATAGTATTATTCTAAGAGTTTCGATTTCAGCATCCACCGTATCTTCTGAACATATTCGATTCAAAGGTCAGTCTATCGAAAACCAACCTGGACCAGTCAGTTCATTAACTTTAATAGTTAGGTACCTCTTAGCTGTAAAAGAAATCTCATTCACTCACTGTTTCAGAATCTATAGACCTATTCTGCATGTTTCAGCTAAATTATCACTGTTTTACAATTCTTTGACAACATGTGTCTCTTATCTCACCACTTGTTATCAACTAGTTCCTTATTCAGTGACCCATTTTCTATTTCTTCCACTACCCACACCTATTGTATATTTTGCACATTACAGCTTGATAATGAAGTCGTTGAAAACAAATATTTCTCCGCTGATACATGTCTTGTTCTTGTTCATGAATAAATTGGTATATTTAGTCAGTCAACATACTTAATGTTGAGTACGGGTTACTTCGATTCAATTCCATTTTTATTGATTTATTAGTTTGATCACACAGTGTAACAGTATTGTTTACTGGATTACGTAATTTATTGTCCATAGTCATATCAACCAAACATTTATTAAAAAGACAATTTCAGAGCAAACAAAAAACTATCAGTAATTTTAAGCGCTTAATTTATGGAAATCGTCAAGGAAATAATTACAAAATTTCGCATGAGCATGTATATATCTAGATCCGGTCATCTTTGTCAACAGTTAGAAACAAAATACAAGTGCTCAATCAGACTGTGAAGCAGATAACCATCTACTATTTTTCCGAAAACCTGTAAACAGAATTTTCTATTCAAATATTAGTTTACAGGGCGATATCATAGTGCAAAATGTAATAAACAACTCTATAAAGGGAAGCTGAAAGTGAAACGGATTGAATAGAAATGATCAACAATAGAAACACAAAGTAAACGATATACACATTCATAAATACATGTGTGTACAATTGAATTTCTGGCTCAACAATATTTATGCATGCGTCATTCAGTGTTTTGTCCTGCTTTTTTCTGCATTTTTGGTTGAAAGCGCAAAATTGTTGAGTCATACAAAATAATAATAGAAAGTGAATAAAACGGCAGAAAAACCGATAGATAAGCACAGTTTCTTGTTTAAAAATTCAAGTTGCCGCCGGTAAGCTTATACGGAATGGGAGAATTTTTCGGCAAAAAGAAAAAGAAAAATGGGGAGTAACCAAGACAACAACAGGTAACGTGAGAATTTTTCGGTTGGTACTTTCGTATTATATAATTTTAAAAAAATCTATTTAAATTATCTTTATGCACATATACTTGTGCAAAATGACAACACAAAAGGTCTGCTAGTTCAGTATAGATATATCAATCAAGAGGCCACCTTTATCACAACAGGAATATTGGTATTCTCAGAGAATAAGTAGAACCAAAATGAAATATATTTAGAAAAGCGGTAGGCCTGCTTTCTCACGACATTTTTGAACAGTGGCTCGCAGCATAAACTGTCTACGTGACAATTCTCGTACTTTCTGAAAAAGGAGAAACAAATATTGAATGTTAACCTAAGGCAGTAGGTTATCGTGTGCAAATGAGCATATCAGTGGACTTTGTTCACTGGGGATCCAAAAATCAGCAAGATTTATTTTCAACAAAAGGGATCCAGCTGATTAACCTTGATTGATACTTAATTTTCTTCCGTAGATGCTTATGCAACATCACTGTGGACCTAGTTGCACAAATGGTCCCAAGACTTTATTCACTAATTTATTCAAATTTGTCTGAATACTATTAGAAAAACAGACATTCTACACATGTAGTCGCCAAGATTATAATTTTATAATTTACACCCATACATTTATGAAAACTACTAAATATGCTTAGAATGTGATAATCTACGCAAGAAAAACTATACTAAAAACATAAGAATGTTTTATCAGACTTATCGATTCATGAGTCAGAGCTACACGAACTAAGTAACAGCTAAACACACACTAACAAATGTGTGCAAAACAAGCCCTATTCAATTTGAAGTTAACTCACAACATACAGAAAAAAGTGTGACACATAAGAGTGTTCGATAAACCACAATTTTCGAAAGGAATGCTCAAATTTTGTCGTAAACTGATTAGCAGTGTGACGCAAATGTGAAAGCATTGATATCACCTCTATACTTCACTTGAAAATCTGTCCTTCTAACTTCTCTTCCCCTACTGTTGTGCATAGAAGGTAAGCAGTATATAATCCATACTTGTAGGACAATCGTGCGCATTATAATGGTATAGGCAGAATTTACTCTACAAGAATAATTATTAAACTCCTTACTTCACAATAGAAGACTAGTAATGATAATAGTTAACAATCATAGGAGTACATAAAATGCACTGAAAGAGATTTGAAGATTGATTGTGGTTTAATTTTAAGATGAGATGATGTAACTTACAGCCAATTTATAACTGGCCATAAGACTCAAGATTATAAAAGTTCAAGTTGACAATAGTGAAACAGCTTGTCGACAAGAGAGTAGTTGGTTGTTTGAGTATTGTATTGGGGTAATCGGTATACCGATCTACCTACCTATTGCATATATATATATATATATATATATATATATATATATATATATATATATATATATATATATATAATATGTAGAAGGCACTAACTAATGTAATATATGAATATGTGAAACAGTCCTGTCATATGACTTGAAGCAACTTCAACAATTAGTTTAGTTTAATTTGGATTGTCCTGAAGCTTCTTCCATATTATGCTGGAAAAAGGATCATGGCATTAAATTTCAATTAGGCTCGCAATGGTAGGCAACTTAAAATGACTCGGAACTCTATTTCTGTAACATTTCATTGAGCAAATCATACTATGGTTACTTTCACGAGCTGGTTTTTATCTCTTTGAGGAGGTGACGAAAATTAGTTTGTTCGCTTAGTTCACGAGTCAAAATCTCCAAAACAATGCAGTAGACTATAGAAAATATCTCATATTTTCATAAAGATTGGATTCAAAATAGATACCAAACACTCTAGAGCACACATGCAGGTGTCACCTGCTGTTGAGCATGGAGTTAGCTTCTCTATTCACGAAGTAATTCGACGATGTATGCACAAGAAACGCCGCTTCAAAAGACTCCACAAGCATATGCCAGTTCATCAGATCGTGTGAAGCTATAAGCTTTTTGCAAGCATAATATATGATGTCTGGCATTTCAGAAGAGAATATAATTCAAATAACTCTGCACTTGAATATCTGGTCAATACTGATCACATACCATAAACATTTTCTGCTAAAGTCACCTAAAAAGATAAACCAAACGAGTTAAAAACTGATGTAGAGATTACCTTTGGATGAAAGAAAACGAAACGAAACATACTCAATCGCCTTGTGCACATTAGTCCAGGCGATGAGCCACATCTATTGTGGGAGGGCTAGTGATACTACCTGGGTGCCCAAACCCCGGTAGATAGAGCGGGAATTGAACCCGTGATCCATTAGTTGAGAGTGATTTCCCTAAAAAATTGAGCCACAGCTCCACATGGATTTAAGAAATTTTAGTGAATCATTACTGGAGACAGAAACTATGTGCACAGAAGGTGGTACTGTTACTTTACCTAGGACACAGTCTTCTTTTCACACCTTTTACCTTATTCAATCAGTCACAGTGTCTACATGGGACCTAGAATTTCTGTCCAACAGTCCGGTTTGCTGTACACCTTACATCAGACGAAAGATAAGGGAAATGGAAATAATGCAATCAGATCATAGGAAATCATATTTCCGACCTTTTGTCATTCTTTCCTGAGTATCAATTAGCTTATAATGTCTAACAGACTCAATTGGGAAAATTTAACTTTTAACAAATTTCCTTGCTGTAAAATCATTTCTACGTAGGACAAGACCCGTAGATTTCTAGAGACAATTTACAATTTCTCCCTTTTGAACATTTAGTGAAGACTCAACGCCAACACGACTAACCAATAACAGACTGAGATCTTATTCAAACCAGACTCAGCTACGAAACCAAATTAATGACCGCAACTCATCTTTGTTTCAACTAACTGGAGTTCAGTCAGATTGTCATATGAACCACTGACACATAAATGTCTACCATATATCGATATCACACTTGCTGACAAGTCCGGTTTTCCCGTCTTCATACAAACAGAACTGAATTACAGAGACAGAGGAACTCATCAATTCGTGATGGGATTGCTTTCAGTAACCTTAGCTTAAAACACTATTGCTGATATAGCTCAGTCAGCAGAAAGTGGGGTCATTAATCCAGGTATTGCTAGTTGCAATAATGTAACGACTCAGGTTTTCCTTCAACTTCAATCACTCTGTGATTATATCAGTACCAATTTATCAAACTGAGGTAATCTTAGTTGGTAACCTGAGTGATTTGTGGAAAAATTGATTGATTGCAAGGGAGTTTTCATAAAGAAATGATATCAGATTTGTCTTTCGTTGTGAATATCAATACTTTGCATATCTGGTGGAAAATGAAATGGTTTGTGAAAAAGACTTTCTTTACTAAAACTTCTCCTCCTCTACATCTTTTACCTTCACAAAAAACCACACATTTTCTTGAAACGTACGTGAATTAATCAAAAATGAACAGGAATTTCTGAATTGCTCATTTATGCTTGAGAGTTTATGGTCTCAAGATGTTAGACGGATTCAACAGTGGATAAATATTTTCAAAAGCAAGCAAACGAAGAATGACCTTCTTTAACATTCTTTATACGTAACAAGAATGCGAAATATTTGCTCAATAAACGTGAAATTTGACTATCGAATGTTATAATTAAGGGTAGTCTAATTTATACTTTAAAACGACAGATCAAGCGCGGATTAAGGACTTATATCCTCACTAATTAACTATACTTACTCATTTTCTTCAGTTTTTGAGAGCTTGAATCCCTAGTTTTGCGAGTCGAAACACTCTTTAGTGTATATCATTTATTTCTACCACATGAAGCTGGAATCTTCCTATTAGCTCGTGTATGCATATATTTATACTCTGGTTTTGACTATTTTTAAGTGATTTCAAGGTAGTATTTGTGACGGAGATATCAGTAAGAGAAACGATGAAGACCTAGGAGCATCGGACAGCCGCTTCGTCTTAGAATGAAGCTTAACAGCAGTACAAAGCCATGACCCCATGGGGTATGCAGTCTGGAACCATCAGGTCTTGCAGCAAGCACGTTTCGTTCAGTTACTTAGCTGGAACCTAACAGTCCACATTTTCCAACTTCTATCAATTCCTGCCGTAGTACGACTTCCATTCAATACTATCTACGAATATTTGTTCCCACAATCAACTTGGTTGACTCCATAACTGACAGCTTCTCATAACAACTTCGGGAAATCTGTCATGAAGCAGTTGACTATTGAGTACGGAGACGTGAGTTGATTGGCGAAACCTGATGATCCTGGATCGTGAGTATGCACTGAAGACGAAACAACCTTTAAGTGCCACCAGGTTTTCAACGGTTCTCCAGTTAATGTTAGTCTATAGTGAAAACTATCTTGGAAAAAATAAACCTCCACAAACCATCAGATAAACTGTTTAGGTTAAGTCAATCAATTATTCAACTCATTTGTTGCTTTCTCAATTAAATGGGATGAGAAAAAGCTTTGTAGAAAACTACTTATTGTTCATTGTAAGGTAGTTGGCATCACCTGAAATATGTATGTTGTCTAGCAACTGAATCCCTAAATTATAATGTGAACAGCTTAACTTATCAAACCGATAATACCTATGTACTTATGAACAAGAAGATCAGACGACCTGGTATCGTTGCTACATTCCTGTGTCTACCCGTTCTATCAAATAGATACTCAATTAGAAATCGGGCATTAATTATCTTCCCCCAACAGTTTAATAGATTAAAAATCATTAATTTCTGTAAATTACGACCCACCTTCAAGTAAATTTCAACATCTAACACATTTTTACCCATCGCTTCTCCAAGGTAATAAATTGCATCTTCGATTGCTTGTTCTTCAGCAAATGAAACAACTAGTTGTCGATAAAGTGGTGCAGTTGTATCCACAGCCTCATCCACCACAAAATTAGAATCAGATTTCCTTAGTTTATTTGAAGTCTCTTCCAAATCTTTAGTTTTTTGCTTCAATGATTCTATTTCTAAAAAAACGCGCTCCTGATAATGTTAGAGAAGAAAAAAGAGAATCTTAATATAATTGGAAAATAGAAATATCTTCAGGTTGCTTTAACACTTCTCCGTTTTGTCCGATGTAAGAAATGTGTATGATACAGTAAATAAGTATAAGTGTATGCAAAGTAGTGCAATACTTACTGTTTGTTAGATTGATATAAATTAGCGTCGCTGCGTAGGTAATTGCGATAATTATTTTTAGCTGGAGAAAACAGTTAAATGGTGCATTATCTCAGTGAGCGGATACAAGATGGTCTACTGTAAGATTAGATGTACACAGTATAATGGTTGTTGAGTGTATCTGGCTGCTCAAACAGTGATATGTGTAGCAGGGTTGGGACAACGTAACTCCCTCGTTTAAAAATAATCCACAGCTACATACAACAAGCAGGTGGTAAAAACATGATTTATGCTTGACAAAGGTATCCGTTGCATTCGTTAAATTTCATGTAGTAGTAGCAGTAGGATGAAAAAGAATCCTTGACGAGTTCATGATAAAAAACCGAACCATGAAGTGTTAAGTCAAAGACCCGCAGCCTACGGTGAATAAAATATCATAAATCAATTATTTGAGACTGTAGACTACATGGTTCAAACTCTATCAAGGTGGCACAGGCGTATTTACTCTTTAAGCTCATCATCATTGCTGTGTTGTGACAATAATTATTGGAACGGCACAAGAGGAAGGATGTGCTCTTTATCTGCCAATTGGAGAAAAAAAAATTGGCCTGCAGTATCCAGGTGATAACCTCGCCTGGTTAACTAGTTTACTAGTTACTAGCCGGTCCTAAGCCCGGGTAAAGAGGGAAGGTTGGGCATAGGGCTAGCAACCCTACCCCGTAAAACAAATCTAACCGCTAAACAAACTTCAAAGCACAAACAAAATATAAAAAATGAAAACAAACTTATTCCCCGCTGGAATCGGAGAGGCGAAATGACGCCAGTTGGTGAAAGCCTTCGGGAAGCCAATTGGCCGATGTGTCTTCTTCTCGATGAAAGCGAAAGTAAACGTGGGGACATGGAATGTCCGCACGATGTTTGAACCCAGTAAGGCAGCCCAGATTGCAAAGGAGATGAGAAGGTATAACATCGAAGTGCTTGGGATTTGCGAAAGCAGATGGAATGGGAGTGGACTCTCCAAACTGTCAACTGGAGAATCAATAATCTACTCCGGTCACCCAGACGCCAACCACGAGCACACTGAGGGAGTGGCTATCATGATGTCCTCAAGAGCATCGAAGGCTCTCATGCAGTGGGAACCAATCTCCTCCAGGATCATGACAGCAAGATTCAACTCAAAAGGAAGAAAGGTCACAATCATACAATGTTATGCACCTACAAATAATGCAGAGCAAGAGAAAAAGGAGGATTTCTACAGACAACTTCAATCAACACTGGACAAGACGTCAGTTGGCGATATCAAAATTCTAATGGGCGACATGAATGCCAAACTGGGAGGGGACAACACGGGAAGAGAACTAACCATGGGTCGAGAGGCGCTAGGTGAAATGAATGAGAATGGAGAATTGTTTGCAGAATTCTGCGCATTCAACGATTTGGTGATTGGAGGCAGTGTGTTCAGGCACAAAGATATCCACAAAGCGACATGGATTTCACCAGATGGACACACTAAAAATCAAATCGACTTTATCTCAATCTCAAGAAAATGGAGACGCAGTCTACTTAACACAAGGTCAAGAAGAGGAGCAGATGTAGGTTCAGACCACTATCTAGTGCAAGGAACCTTCCAAATCAAGTTAAAGCCTTCAAGGAAGCTGGTGATAGACCTCAACCCAAGTACAACACTCGGAAACTGAAGGATGAAACTACAAAGGAGATCTTCAAGGCAGCCATCAAGACAAAATGGGAGACATCGAGCAACATCCCTGAAGAAACCTGTGTGGAAGAACACTGGAAGTCTTTGAAAGCTATGTGGAAAGAAACCTGCACAACAGTATTAGGAAGGAAGAAGAAAGAAGACAAGGAATGGATCTCGACGGATACCTGGAAGCTGATAGAGGAGAGGAGGATGGTGAAGCAGAAGATAAACCAGTGCAAGGATGCTCAACGACAAGAGGAACTGAGCACAATGTATAAAACACTGGACAAAGAAGTGAAGAAGAGTGCACGCAAAGACAAAAGACACTTCTACGAAACACTGGCAAGTGAAGCAGAACAGGCTGCAGGTAAGAGAGACCTGACGACATTGTATCAAATAACCAGGTTGCTATCAGGGAAGAGACCAACACAGATGAAACCAATAAAAGATGAAGAAGGAAATTTAATTACGAAAGAAGAGAAACAGAGGAAACGATGGGCCGACCACTTCAAGAAGCTCTTGAATCGACCACCACCTGCACTTCGTCCAGAAATACCACCTGCAGCCGCTGAACTACAAGTGAACATTAATCCCCCAACGAAAATGGAAGTCCTGAACGCCATAAAGCTACTGAAATGCGGGAAAGCAGCAGGACCAGATGGAATACCGCCAGAAGCACTGAAAACAGATGCAGAGACAACAGCGGCCATGCTCACACCACTATTGCAGAAGGTGTGGAAGGAAGAGAAGGTACCTGACGATTGGAAGAAGGGTTACCTTGTCAAACTGCCGAAGAAGGGAGACCTCAGTGCTTGCAAGAACTGGCGCGGAATCACTCTCCTGTCCACCCCAAGTAAAATATTAAGCCGCATCATCCTGGAGAGGCTAAGGGATGCACTGGATTCAAAACTACGACCGGAACAGGCAGGCTTCAGGAAGTACAAATCATGTGCTGACCAAATTGCAACGCTTCGTATCATCATAGAACAGAGCATAGAATGGCAATCACCTCTCCACCTCAACTTCATCGACTTTGAGAAGGCCTTTGACAGCGTCGACCGAGAAGTAATTTGGAAACTGCTTCAATACTACGGAGTACCGCAAACCTTTATCCGCCTCATTCAACAACTATATGAAGATGCTACATGCCAAGTAATCCACAATGGGAAGCTCAGTGATGCCTTTGAAGTGAAGACAGGAGTGAAACAAGGTTGCCTACTATCCCCCATGATATTCCTTATTGTGGTGGACTGGATCATGCAGCAAACAGTAGGCAGCGAGAAGAGGGGGATACACTGGACGACGGAAAAGAACCTAGAAGACTTGGATTTCGCCGATGACTTATGCCTAATGTCACATAAACTTGAAGATCTGCAGGCAAAAACTAACAAGTTGATAGAAGAGGCAGCGAAGACGGGACTTCAGGTGAATATAGAGAAGACAGAAGTGATGAAGATACCGCACCACCACCATCAACAACAACAACAACAAACTCCAATCACCGTCAACGGGAGAAACTTAAAGGAAGTAACCTCCTTCACTTATCTAGGAAGCACTGTTTCAACTACAGGCGGGACGGACGAGGACGTCAAAGTCAGAATCGGAAAAGCAAGACAGGCGTTCATTAGCCTGAAACCAGTGTGGAGATCTTCTGCACTCAGCATGCGGAACAAGATACGGATTTTCAACACCAACGTCAAGTCAGTGCTCTTGTATGGCTCAGAGACTTGGCGCGTCACGAAAGGTATTTCCAATAAACTACAGACATTCATCAACAACTGCTTACGCTCGCTGCTGAAGATCAGATGGCCAGAAAAAATAAGCAACAAGGGACTCTGGGAACGAACCAACCAAGAACCTATCACGCAACAAATATGCAGGAAGAAGTGGAGATGGATTGGCCATGCACTGAGAAGGCCGACTGAGGACATCACGCGTCAGGCCCTCGAGTGGAATCCCCATGGGAAGCGACGAGTTGGACGTCCGAGGGTGACATGGAGGAGGTCGTGCGAGCAGGAAATGAGAGCTTCTGGGCTGTCGTGGGACCAGGTTCAAAAGATCTCAGAGAACAGAGGTCACTGGAGGCGTGCTGCTGAAGCCCTATGTTCCACTAGGAACCCAAGGGACTAATAATAATAATAATAATAATCCAGGTGATATTGTATTACGGTGCGATGATACACAGGCGAAGTAATTACCGTTTTCATTAACCGCTGTTCCAAAGTATGATGTGCGTGGTCATGCATACTATGCGATGTACTTTGCACTCACCCTTAGCTGTTAACCGTTAGAAGTAGGGGGGAGATTTATGCTTCGCAAAGACCTTTCTCAGTCTATTGTGAGATACAGTTCCGAGAGTTGTATCGACTTCGGACCTGTAGGTTTCATATATTAAAATATAATCTAAAGAGAATCTAGGTTAAACCTCTATGTTGGCCTTTGACAAGAATTGCTTCTATCGCCCAGTATCCCGAAGTCGATTTACACCATTTACTTCCTAGTCAGAAGTTACCGAATTCCTCCGTTAAGTTGAAATTTATTATTCAACACGTGAAATGATCTCGCTACAGAATCTACAGTGAGTTGGACACCCTTTGTAAGAAACATCAGCAACTTCGTTAAACAGCACTGAAAATAGTTAGAGGAAGTGATCAAGTGGTTACTTTTGGAAACCATGCTGTAGCCTATGAACGATACCGGTTCCATTCAAAACATGAGATGCTGTATCCTGAAGGACGAATGACTTAGTAACTTGATATATCATCAAATCACAGCTATCATTAACTCTAGTCCAACTTACTTGTCAGATACACGAACAAAATAACAAACACTTTATCAAAGTAACGTGCTGACCACGGAACCTGAAGATCGCGGGTTCGATCCCTGGCGGGGTCGTGGGTGCGCACTGCTGAGGAGTCCCACAATAGGGCGAAACGGCTGTCCAGTGCTCCCAGGTTTCTTTTGTTCCTCCAACTGACGTCAGTCTACGATGAATAACAACTTTATCAAAGTATTTTCTTATGATTCTCTTCTTTTCGTATTCTCCCTCACCTTTATTATGTTTATGTTTTTATATGTCATCATATTTGACATTTAAAATAAGTGGGTAGGTAAATGATAAAACAATGCAAATAAACAACAAAGCACACACATTGCATGACAGTTTATGTCGATGTCTGAATGGAAGTGCAAGAGGTTTCGAAATCACTACATATTTAATCAACACGAATAAATATTCAATTCAGCCACAACGACGAAACAAGTTTGACCTAGGCCATTAAATGTAAAAGAACAGCTGTATTTTTTTCGGTTTGGAGTATTGTAATTGAAAAGTTGAGAGTTACTAACCAATAGTCAATTACATTGTGGAGAAGGTCTTTAAACCGCAATTCAAGTATATTTCAACATATCGTTTAAGGTAGAAAATTGTTAACAACGAGACATGCAAATTAAACTGTGGTTCAATTTGACTTGAAAGCGTTTTAAAAAACCATATTGCTCAAAATGATTTGGTATTCAAGTGCATGAAACTGGTGCAAACGATTGTAGAATCCATCTCCTACATAAAAACGAAGTTTTACTCTGTGGGTAAGGTGTGTCATTTTCAACAAGTACAGAATTGCTTATTGGTTGCATGCAAAATTAACCGTATTAGGGGAAAGCTATGTCATTTTCCATGACAATCTCAATATTAAGCATTTAAGGTCGGTGGATATCTGAACCATCGGTATTTCGTGCAATAGTATTTGCGTTAACCTTACTTAGTAACGATCTAAGGTCATCCAACGAAAAGGATGATAACATCACAAAGAAACTCGAAAAGTAAATTACTGAAATGAAAAAATCCCCTGAGGAACCAGCTTTCATTGACAGTTGAAATACATAAACAATTAGTACTATCCATAGAACAAATTATCCCCATGTCTTAACCTTTCTTCTATCATAAAGACTTCAATATCGAGAATCCCAAGTAACATGTGCCAGTGAGAGTAAATGCAGCTACTGGATAAGAGAAACATCAAACAGGGTAATCAGTTCACCATTATCCTAAATCAAAGGTAGCTGCAAGAAACAGACTATAGAGTTCAATGAATTGTGACGACCGTCGCTATTGAAAACGTAATTTCAGAAATATCACAAACTTTATGATCCTTTTTTAGGTGGATGTGACTTATGATAACACTTCATTTCTTGCTATATTTACTCTTTCAGCAGGATAAATATTTAGAAAATAAAATTTGAACGCCTAATGAATTAGCTGCAATTAGACAGAGTTTCACTTAACATGTATGGGTCAACTAGTACACGGTTGCCCGGAGCGAAATAAACTGAGATATCGAAACCAAAACTCAGTGAATGGAATATGGGCGTCAAGCAGTCACATATTTACTTGACTACATAAAAAAGAAAAAATCAGTTGTTCTGAAGAAGTCGCCCATACATTGATTCTCACACAGGGATTAAAATTGATTGTTACCTCAAAAGTTTCAGAAAACAATGTCTCGAATGCATCTCATCTACAAAAGCACGTAACAAAGAACTGGGAAAATGACCTCCATTCTAGTCACTAAAATTTTTATAGGTTGATCTAACTCATTTCCAAACAACAGACGAACATCTGTTTGTTTCTTAGCACACTTTACAAGGTCTTCTCATACGCAAAAACTATTTTAAGTTGCATGTGTAAAATACATGTTCTATCACAGACAAATCATTTCAATGACTTGCACAAGATATATATTCGCAAAATTCAAAAAAGATTATAAACGCGAGTTCCAGATCTTTTGACACGTCATGGAAACAACGTCATTATGAGGTTGCGAAACATTAAAAACTTATTCCACTCTTTCGGTCAGACTTTACAGATACATTTCCTGAAAACTTTTTAAAATGTTTTCAGGTACATTTCCAGTTATTGGGAAAACGTTCGTTCATAAACAGACATAAAAAACTAATATTAAAGTGGATGAAAGTGCATAAGAGGAAAATGAAATTGAAAGTCAAGGTTGGTGAGAATTTTCATTTTAGCGTAAATTACCACACTATGATGGAAGACCGAGGAAGAAGTCATACTCCTAGCAGGACAGGGTGTAACGACAGTAAGATGTTTCACTTGGACGAACAGCAATCCTACGCTGATTCTGCTTCCCTATGGAAAGCGTGGTTAGAAAAGGTTGGTGACAAAATAACACACCCAAAACATGAAGGTTAGCAAACGTCATTGGATTTCCACAACATCATCGGAGCTGATTGATGAGAGAAGACTGAATCTAGCTGGCACAGACCAAAGTGAAGACGGAGAGCGACCTCAGCCTAAATTGACCAAGAGTCTTCGGTCAATCGTGAGCAGTGATCGGTGGGGAAAGCGAGAGACATGCAGAAAGCATCAGTGTTTGGTAATACTCAGTAAATAACTAGGCCTATCAGGAATCCCGTCAAGATGAAGATGATGGTTAGTCAAATAATAACCGAAAAGGAGGCGACGCTGATAACTTCTCACGACAGCCGGCTAAAATGTTCGGCAGAACACTGTGGACCACAATCCAATTGGCTCTCAGCTACTCTTAAGACGACCAGTATCCAGCCTGAACCTGAGTGGGGTGCAGATGTCGGTTGTCCGACTCTCTCTGAAGTTGAAAATGCAAGACCTAGCATGAAACAATGTAAAGCAGCTTGATCTGACGGTTTGCCACCTAACGTTCTCAAGAATTGAGGTAGGAAATCTTGAATTAAGGTGACGGAGGCACTAAATAATTTATGAGAATCAGAGGTAGTGCTATCACATTGGTCTACTTCACTGATAACCACCCCACTCTATAAGAAGGGAGTGGAGTCTTCTTGTGACAAGCATACGGGAATTAGTTTGACTAATAATGTGCCAAAAATCCGAGACCCCATAGTTATCCCATGCTTAAATGGAACTCGAGAACAACAAACTAGAGAAAACTAGACAGGTTTCACGCCTAGAAGGCGTTTGTTCCCTCTGACAGTTTCTGGAACATAAGAATATCTACTGGTGGCCGACACTTGTCGGATTTCTGGATCTGAAGGCAACATTCAACTCTCTCGACCGTGGGGTGTTGTGGTAGTGTCTGACTGTGAAGGGAGTACCAAGATAGGAAATGATGCCTACAGAGGATTGCCTTCGGAATCGACGACAAGTAGTGGTGTCCATCATGGGTGTCAAATGTCAGTATTTCTATTTAATCTTTTCTGACCCCCATTTCTATAGGGAAGGAGAATCAGCGAGGGATTGCTGTTCGTCCAAGTGAAACACCTTACTGTCGTCACACCGTATCCTGCTAGGAGTATGACTTCTCCCTCGGACTTCTATCATAGTGTGGCAATTTACGCCGTAATGGAAACTTCTTTTCGGCTAACCACTATCCAAAAGATTTTTTTGGGTTGGTAGATCGTTGGGGGGGGGGGGGGACAATCTTTCCAGTCAGTGTGGGTCGATTAATCATTACGAAATGCAAGGGCGATGACCACATCATGGTAGCAGCTAATTACCGGGAGTTTCGGCAATGTAGAAGAAACGACTCAAGAACGACGCACAGGTTCGGGCTACATGTTTATCACACATTCACTGTGTAAATGCTATTGATACTTCGTGGTCACTAAAACTTCGGTAAGCAGAGTGCGGTTCGAACCCATATGCCATTGACTAAATGTGGAATGTCGAGGTCAGTGAACCACAGCTACCTACGGAACTAATATTTTGGGAATCAAGTAAGAAAGATGTACTTTGCTACATTTCAGCTGTCTATGACTTTTAGTTATCAGTCAAGCTTGGATCCCATATATGTTTTACGTTCCTACCTGCTAAGTTAGCGGAAATTTCATGCATTGCAGTAATGCAATACAGATGGTCTAAGTGATTATGTGTCCAGTGGATTTCACCTTTATAACTGACTTCAATAAGTATAACTGACTGGTCAGGATAAAGCAACATGATACAATTGTGCACTGATGCTCAGGTCACTATATTCTAGAATGGGAGATATAAAAAAGCGGAATCAATAGGTAGAGAGAGGCAGCAAGAAAACAGAAACAAAAGTGATATCGAAGATAGGATATAGATATTTACAAAAAGATGAAATGTGAGCGCCTTTGAGTTAACAAGATCGATCACTAATCATATGTCGTCAGTATTTCACATTACCGTGGAAATGTAATCATAATCAACTAGCCTATAGTCTTTCTGTGATATTCAACTGAATATATCTGAAACAAAGATGAGAAAAATCAGGTTATAACAATACTAATGCGAAAAGGTCAGAAGCCTTATTGTGTTGAAAAGAATTTTCCCTTATATCATTAACATGGGTGTGACAATCAAGCCTCATGATGAACCGTTCGCGTTCTGTAAGACCGCAAAATACCTAAAGGCTATTTAGTGCCTGAAATCCTTTGCTTCAGGTTTTCTCTTCGTGATTTTTCAAGTTTCTTTTTAAAATCTGCCTTCCATAACACGTCTTCTTATAACACACAGCGCTTGCATATCGAAGTCAGGAAAGGTTTGGTATGTTTAATACACCACAACCATATTAAGTAACTTGAGATTACGTAGAAAAGCAAGTTTGAGATTAACGTTACTTTTCATATATGCTAGGTGATATGTTTGAAGTATCTGTGATTAAATAACTGCAAAATCACTTTATCTTCTAAACGTTATAATCCAGTAAATAGTAGATATTAAAAAAACAGAGAGTGTTGAAATATTCAGTCGATTCTTGATGGGTGTACAGATGTCATCGGTGCCAAAAACAGATCTAATCAAGTTAATGCCAATCAAGACTTAGATATTTATTCAAGAAATACCTAGGTGATTAACTAACAGTTACACAAAGTGATTAACGTACTTAACTTCACTTTCCATGGTATGACAAAATGCAGCTGTGGGTTAGTTCTGAGCCTTCAATTGACATTCAGTATATGCAAAATATAGGTGATTAGTTGCCAGGATTTTGGTCAAGGAAGTTCGCCTGAACAAATAAAATAACACGCTATCGGATTTTGTGAAATGCAATGCAAATGATGAGAATATTATTGATGTTTGTTTGTCTTTTTTGACCCACAACTTACTTTTTCCTGTTGCATCTTGTTGATCATTTCTTGAATCTTCTGACCACCAGCAAACAGACCAGTTTGTGTTTGACGTATAGCTTGTAAATCATCTTGGTGTTGATAGATAAGTTCTTTCTGCACTCGACGAACTTGATCGACTACAGCAGTTAGTACAGACATTCTTAGTTGTTCTTCATTTAGGGTACCTAAGTCAGAATATAGAGAAGTAAGTAGGCACAAATTGAACTTTGTGGACAGTTAAGAATGCTTAGTGAGAAGATTTAGGTTTAATTCTAGGGCATATGAACAGATATTAAAATCAAAAGCTGTGACAAGCTTTACCATGCTTCCTCTAATAAGAGATATTTTGATGGCTTTTAACGTCAGAATGTTATACTTTTGGGTACTGATCACACTTAACAAAATATAAAAGTAGGGGGAGGGAGAATGTAAATGTGACAAGATAATAAATCACAATTAGGTAACATAATTTATTGAATGAAGCAATGAGACAACCGTTTTGGGATAAAGTGGGAATTTTAATTTGATGGTTGCAGTAAAAGATACACTTCAACCATATTTCTCCACAAAATCTCTATTAATTATACTGGGATCAGCAGTTACACTTTTTTATTCTTGGTAAATATTATGAGTCACTGAGATGAAAAATATTCGTAATGCAGAAGGATAACTTTGGTGGTGTTGTGATTTCTGAGCTGGAAGGTTCGATAATGAAGCTTTTGTTGTTACTATAGACAACATCGTCAATAAGAACTTCAGAAAGTTTTTTTTTGACTCATCTTTTAGTGTAAGACCTATTTTTGTAATGGATGGTTGTTATTGGGTGATGACTGGAGAAGTACAATAATACAAGTCTGCCAAACCACAGCTATCTCAAATGGTTAAAACTGATAATAGACGTTTGTGTTACATATTTATCGTCCGAAACTCTACCTACTTAGAGTAAAACGCAATGAGTATATGTGGAAAAAACAGGAAATGGTATGGTTAACTGTGTAGACGTTTCTGATTCATTTTCTTTGTTGATTTGTCTAGTTGTCTTTTTGTGAACTTCAAAATAAGTATCGAAAGTCAAGAATTAAAAGTAAAGCGTTAGAAATCAATGCTACCCCTCATTACCTTAATCAATAAACAAAAGTTAAAATGGTGCTTAACAATACATCTAGAAAACTGTTTTTTCTCCCTAAACATGCTAGGACTACACTACAAAACCTCTCACAATAGCCCAAACAGACTGGAAGGTAAAGTTTTGACAGGAGATTTAGGCATCTATAAATTAGATACTTATAGAATTAAGCAGTGTTAAGTTAATTAGTAACAGTAAAAGAACCCTGAAAGTGTCGTTTACCAGCTTCCGCAACTTTTCAAAGCAATGATAATAAACTAGCTTGGATTTTCTCTACATTCCCCTTAAATGATCTCAAGGTAGACGGTGGTGAAAGTTAGGTGCCTAAAGAAAATGAAATCTACTTTAGATTTCCTAAATCTTACACAGAGCATCTGATGTTGCCTGATCAATTGTTGGTTAGAGACCAGTGTTGCTAAGTCCTAAACGTTTACCGAATTATATAGATCTAGATTTCAATGGGAACAGATTTTTAAGCGACATCCATTTCTCGAAGGTTATACACCTTGGTGCTGAATAACAATAAACATGAAGCCTTGACCTGAAGTCAGGGACAGGTTATCTTCAGACGTCAGAAACCGGACTAATCTACACCGTAGGACTACTTTTTAATGGAAATGCCAATAATGCCTATAGTGAGCGATTGAAACTAGACAAATTTAGAAGAAACAAAAGTATATGCATTCACACGGGACATTAGAATTACGAACATGTATATACAGTTTAGTGGCGTAAAACTCATTTGAGAAACAATGATTATCGTTACCACAATCCACGTGAATGTCTACGTCCGCTAAATTAAGCCTTGGTTAATTGTCTGTAACAGCATTTCAAGAAAATCATTCATACTGAAACTAGAAATACACTTTACAAGCAGTTGTATTCTTCAAATATCAAAGATGAAATCCTTTATATATCGAAACCAGCGGTAAGTGTAAGCATTTATTACCTCACACTCAAAACGATAATCATTTCTAAGCACATGAAAGAACACAATCCGGGATAGAAGTAAAAACGATCATGAGCTTTGCACGAGCAATTTCAGCAGACATTACGTTAGCAATATAAAGGATAACTATCAGTCAAAACCCTAGCCATCTTTTTCCCCAGACAACTGGAGCAATTGTTATAAAAGTTCCTCATCCAGAAACAACTGTTTAGGTACTTCCTCCTCTTTGAAATTTTGCTGTCCGCAATATTATTGTTTTTTGTCATTTTCTTACTTACATATTTATTTGTCATATTTCCCCCGTATATACTTGTCAATCCTGTTAAATGTTCTATTACTGGCTTTACTTTAGTGTCTGTTTCAGTCTCATCTTTACACCTATAGCAAGTCATTTTCTAAAATGCGATTCACTTCCTATCGTCGCTTACCGCTTTTAAAGACGTTTCCTACGTAACATGAAACGCCAATAGCCTCATGAAATTAGATATGTTTGTTCTTTTTATCACAGTTTGGTTTGTCAGAATTTCAGGTAGAAACTGCACAGATTAACCAAGATATGTTATTCATCCAAAGTACCTTTCTTTATGAATAAATGTGCACGAATAAGTTATCTGATGGTAAGTAGCCTAGTAGTTAAGCCATAAGTGCTGATCGAAATCTGTCGATCAACTTTACACTGAGCTAAGTAACCGCCAACTACAGAAGTTAGCATCCCATGATGGGTCCGAATAGTTTTGCAGCAAATTCTCTCACCTCGGCATTGAGTGAGGTCGGGTCCGATTCCCCACAGAGAGCGAGTTTTTTTGAGTGCAACTCTTTTCGGTGTGAGACTTCGTGATAATAATAATAAGGGTGAAGGTACTTAAGTATAAAATAGTCTTCTGTCGGAAGAATAATTCCTAACCAGATATCCATTATTCTTTAATTTGTCCTTTAAATCGTAACTTGTGGCTCACGTTTTTTTTCTCCGACGTACATCAATTTCCTATTCTGACCGATGGCTGCTACTTTAGCGTGGTCGTCAGGTCTGCATACCACAATGACCCAACGAGCTATATTGACCAGAACGCTTGATCCCTTGAGGTCCTACCATACCAGAACGCCTGTTGGATAATGGTTACAGAAAAAACAGTTACCATTACAGTGTGCATTACTACGCTATGATGCAAGTCCGTGGGAAAATTTGTACTGCTGACTGGGCCAGGGAATGACAGCAGTGACGTGTTTCCCTCCGATAACCAGTAGTGCCACGCTGATTCAGCTTCCCTTTGGTAAGTGGGGCATTAACGAAATCAGCCCCCAAAATAGCACACTCCCATCGCAACCCTCACCCCGCGGTATGCTCATGCCTGCAACAGGGACTTATAGTCCGATTCCAAAGCAAAAAATCAATATCTCAATCTTGCGAAAAAGCCGCATGTGACCGGCCTCAAGCATACGTCTCATGGGCTCTGCGGTGACGCGTTATCCCTTCTATCTCAAGTACCTGAGAAAGAACAAGCCTCACACAGTGAGGGCAGTAGGGAAGTGTCAACTACTCGGACGCTTCCAGTAATAAACGAGACCCAATCGAATATAACCTATCCTACTCAACTGTCTCCTTCTTCATTTTCACTTGTCGATACTAATGTTAAGCCTCTTACACCACCATCAATCTCTCATTCTGTGACCACTGCGAACGATCAGAGCCACCGAAACCTCATTCCGAGTCTTCAAAGCCCCCATCATCGGTTTCGTATTGGAGCTATCAACGTGTGAACTCTACGCCAAATCGGAGGAAACCAAGCACCGCTCACCGAAACCCTGGAATTTCTAGTTAGGATGTACGCTGTATCTCTGAGACACGTACACAGGACCCAACTATGGTTATTAAATTGACCCCATTAATATAGGTGTAAAAATTCGGCACTGTGGTAGAATTTAATTCCATATTAGATTTATTTATTTGATTTATAACACACGGTGATACAGTATTATTTACTTCATGACGTTTCGAGCATAAATTATTGTTCATAATAATATCAATGTAATTACACTACTTTCGACATGTGATTTTCATGGTTCAGTCACCTAATATGATTTGCTTCTGTTGGTAATAAAATTTTCCATATCTCTGGTATGGGTGTTGCGTCATTTCTATAACATGTGTTGGGTGTTGATCCGATCAATAAAGATTCAGTAATCAACCTCTCTCTCTCTACATAATTATATTGGACTTAAGTATAGTGGTTTAATCCCACTCTATTGCATTGCAATAGCCGTTTTTCCCTAGATTATGATCTTATTTGGGACTGTCATTCTGTATTTAGGTACATTCCTATGTTCGGCTATTCTAACTGACCCCGACCGGCTAGTTTGACCTATGTACTTAACCTCGCAGTCATTACATGGAATTTGACAGACTAGATGGTTTTGCTCAGTTGGTTTTATCGGATCCTTAAGCTGACAAAGCTCATCTTGAGTGAGTTTGAAGGTTTAAATGTCACCCTAATTCTTGCTTCATTGAGGATTCTATGTAAAGTTACAAATGTAACTTCCTTACAGGGTAATACAATGGAGGCTGTAAACTCCTTTCTACTAGTGTTGTCGTTATTATTTGTACTCGTGTTACTGTTGTCTTTCCGTTTCTTGTGTGTTCGTACGAATTTCTTAATAAACTGCGGAGGATAATTACTAACTACTAGCGCTTCTTTTACGTGCTTTAACTCCTTGTTCAGGCTCTTGCACTGACTAGTCAGTTTCCTAGCTCTATCACTTAGACATTTGACTAAGCCTGCCTTAACTAACATTAGATGAGATGACTTGAAGTCTAGACACCTGTTAGAATGTGTCGGTTTTTGTAGATGGCAGTATCCAAACCACCGTCTATCCTTCGTTTTATCTTGCAATCCAACATAGATATTTTTCCCTGTTCATTTTTTACCTCGTAAGTGAATTGGATTGCACCTACTACTGAGTTTATATGTGTGAGGAAATTGTCGAGATGTCCTGATTTTAGTACAGTAAATGTGTCATCCACATATCGACATCATATTTTTGGTTAAGGAATAAACGTTTGTAAGGCCTTGTTTTCCTTAACTATCCACAAATATATCTGCTACGATTGGGGA